GCTGACAATATTATCATTCTAAAAGTATATAGTAAAATAAATGTGTGTTGTTTGGTTCGTTCCGACCGCGTCTACTCTGTCCGTTCACTCCAAGAGCGTGGCGCTCTCCATTTTGAGACCCCACAAGGGTTGGGCCATGTGTACCCTCGAGCCGCATGAGCACACCGAACATGGCTGATGGCTTCCCACTTCTCTCTCACTGGCTGTTTCAGTGAGAGGGGCGAACGACCAAGACCTTCTGCCAGGTACCGGGAGGTAGTGCGGCTTGAGAATAGATAGGGCCTTAGAGACAGGCCTTGGTGATGATGATGTTTGGTGCTTTGTGGCGCGAGGGCCATTTGATGGCCAAGAGCGCCAGTTCATGGGACAAGAGATGTGGACAATGATTGTGATTGGCGGCTGTATAAGGGCCTTAAAATTCTTCGCCCTAAGGCGGGTAAAAACATACAAGTAATAAAATCATAACCATCCCATGAAAAGTGTGTGGTGTTAATTGATGACGAAAATTTGTAATAATAAAACCATGGTGGACATGTATGGCATTAGCACAAGTGCCTCGATAGTTCACACCCTTGCGTCAGAGGGCCGTGAGGCAAGTGCTTTGTTGAGTGTAGCCACCGCAGCGGAGACCTCTCTGGAGAGGTCGTGCTACGGAATGCCCGGGTATATGATATGAAAAGTACGAACTTATCTCAAAAAAGCTAACAACGATTTATGTGTGAAAAGTGGTTTCCTACCGACGAACATTGACGGATGAAGTGGTATCTGTTGTCGGTAGGGTATCTGTTGTCGGACAGGCCTTGAGGAGTATTGTGCACTAAACATCATTTGTAGCATGCACACTTTTTTTCTCTCTTCGTTGTTCTTTGTATTTCCTTCTATTGTCTTTGATTTTTAACTCTTTTTTTTCGACACAGTAGCCAGCATATCTAAGCACCGGCTATCCCCCTGTTTTTTTTTTACCTTTCCCTCCTCGCAAGCGCTTTCACAGGTTCGCTTTTTCAATGATCTGGAGCACATTTGCGCAGATGAGTGGGAGCGGGAATCCTACGTGCCTTACGCTCTTACAGCTATTTTTATGTCGTTGAGGTGTATACAAATGAGAGCAGACGTCATGACGCTTTCGGTCGTCATCCATATCGATGGGCAAACACCATGCCAAGCTGCTACCTAGAAGCATGTTTGTTTTTTCCTCATGTTGGCTATGTTGTTGATGCTGTGATGATAAATTATTTGTTCGACAGAAATGAGACGGTGGCAAATAACCACCTATAGCTCACGCGAGCAAAAACATTTGCTCCAACTTTTTTACCGCCGTATTTTGCCTATCCCTCACTAACCTTTTCTTTCATTAAAACCTACCTCTATGTTGCAGAGTTATCTGTGCCGGCAGTGACCGTGTCTCTGTGTGTCTATTCCCCTGTTTTTTTTTCTCGAATGCTTTGACTGTCTCTCACTTATGTGCATCGCTAATCAGTTAATGCTTCCAATTCCTTTGAATTTCTGAGCTTCCGGAAAGTGGAAACAGCCTTGTTGTCTCAGGACATTTGCTGCTTTGGAATGCTCTTGTCATCAGGCGGCCAGCTCGTGCCTTAAAAAGTTCAAGGTACATTTATCCTCGTGTCATTGTGCGCAAATATCGCCCCTTCTAATTGATTTCTTGCTGAATTTGTAGTTCTTCATTTGCCTCATCTTTGAACATTTCGTTCCACTATCTACAATTAACCAATCCTGTTTTTTCCAATGTCTTTCTCAGGACGGCGGTATGTTTGTGCACTCTTACTAACCCTGTTCTTCGCTTCTTTATTTAATGGTTCTTCCTCCATTCAATGTTCGCGCTTTGCTTTTGGGGTTGTCCGACTCGGTGGTAGAGATATCATGGTACTCGGTTGCTGAACCAACAGGTCGCGGGTTCGTTTCCACCTGGAGGCTCGTGTCCTGAGCGATGTTGGTGCGCGGTAAAGAACACAAGATGGACGAAATTTCCACAGCCCACCACTACAGACTGTATCACAATTATATTGTGCTCTCGTACGATACTACAACAAGAACAGCAATAATAATAATAATAATAATAATAATAATAATAATAATAATAATAATAATAATAATAATAATAATAATAATAATAATAATAATAATAATAATAATAATAATAATAATAATTAGCTTGAGGTACCTCATCAGTTATGGTAATTTCATCTTTTTTCTGTGCTAAAGTACGGCCTACACGTGCTGCCTTATCGGCATACGCATTCGCAGTGTCTCTAAATCGCCGAGATTATCCACTGAAACTACTATGTCATCTTGTTGCATTAACTATAGTACAGGAGCCATCTGTGGAACTTCCTGCCTATTGCCGATGCAAGATATATTAAATGCGAAGCATTTCTTAGTGAACTTCGGTGACTTTGAGCGTATCTATCTATCTAGCCGCTTACGTTTGGGTGCTCTCGTGGTCACCTCCTTAACTGGGCATGAACCAAAATAAGATGGTTTGACGAATATGACACGCTGGTCAAGACATTATGTCACAATCCCGTCGCGTATGTCGTCAAACAGTTCCAGCCAAACAGTGGCACATACCCACGGGTGGTTATGTGCCGCTGGTATGGGCATGCGCCACAGGTGATTAACCCTTGGTATCTACCCAGGAACGACGAGAACACACATGGGTAATTTTAAAGCGCGAGCATTAAGAAATACCCGACATCGTTAGCGTCGACCCGACGAATGCAAAAATTAAATGTCAGGGTCCCAGCTGGCATCGACACCAAGCATTCTGTGGGGCATTGAAGCATTTTACCACAGAGCTACACCAGGTTTCGGAACTACTTCTCAAATAGACGCTAATCGTCATGAAACGCTTATAGCGGTTGCAGTGATGCCTACCCAATTTTTATAAACATTACAAATGTATACTATTTTAATACAGCCGCCACGCCGGGTTAACGTCAATTGTAGATAGGTGTCATACGCTGAATTTGATTTACGTAGCAGCGTTCAGTGCTACTATCCTGGCGAGCATCAGCGCTTCATATCAGCTTCTGTTGTTGCTAATACGCATATTCCAGTAGGCATCGTTGGGAAAGTGCAAACAACTGGTTATATAAACGTCTGTAACGCTTCAACATATGTCTGTGCGTGCAACATTTGTACAAATATTTAGCGTCATTTCATGACGTGTCGTTCAATGAAAAAAAAAATTGCAACACGGTCACCTTCCCTCCGCACGGTTCGCAGAACGTCGATTCACAGGTACGTGCGATCTGCTGATTATTTTTTTTAATTTCAGCTAAGTTGTCCTTCTTTGTGCTTAGAATAAAGTGTGAAGGACAAAATAGAGAAATCATAAACTTGGGCAGTCGCTAATCTGCCACCGTGGTTCTGTGTGTTGATAGTTTTGTGTGCTCAGACGTCCTACGAATTTTCACGAGCAGCTCTAAGCATCACAGAGAGCACAGAACGGGCACTGATCAAAGCACCTGCGCAGAAAAGCGGCTGTTCGGTGCTACGTTTCTTCGTCCTCGTCCAATGCGCACTGCTTCAACCAAAGATAAACGCCTACCAACTCGCTCGAGTTTCTATTTTTATACAGCTTTAAACATCACCACATATGTCTTCATAATACGTAAAAATTCTCTGCTTGCGCTTTCATAAGCATCCTTAACATTCAGGAAGGCTAATCATGCGTGTATGTCCACAGCTACTTGAACGGTGAGCCTATTTCGCTCCGTCTGGTGAAAGAAAGCGAGGAAGACACATTCAATTTTCTAAAAATGCAAAGATCTAAAGAAGACTACGTCACTGGAACATGTATACTGAATGGGACACTTTGAATACAAGCTGCGCGGAAGGAAAACTACGCTGCATGAAGAGAAATGGACAATCAAGTCTGTGTAGTTTCCTACTGTCGAGTAAGTGAATAGAAACACATCGCGATGTCGGCTTTGTACGCTTGGACAGTTTCCTTCATTTTGGGCAATCTCTATCCGCCAGTGCATTTTGTAAAAAAAAACTAATTTTATTGACGCGCTTATGAATAGATCTGAAGAACAGGCCGTAAAAATATATAGCACTATACTAGTGTTAGGCCCACGCAGCGGGACGCCAGCATCCCGCTGCGGTGGTACGTTTAATAAAATAGAGTTGACTCTCTGCAGTAACTTCCGGGAGGAAGACAAGTGGGCGGTAAATTCAGCAAACGTTTCCAAAGCTATACAAACAAAAACAGCAATATAATCTTTGAAAATGCGTCAAGTCAAAAAGACGTGTAGGCTACTTCGCGCTCGCAAACGTCTCGGTTATGCACACAATAGTTGCACGCGTCATCGACATGTCCCCTTAATCAAGTCCTGGTTAAATGCTGGCTATATACAAGAAACCAGACAAAAAATGCCTGGTTTCCAGGTGATAATGAACACTTTTAGTGGGACCAGATTATGAGTGATAGAGGTCGAAAATTGCTCACTAGTAATGTTATCCGTTCATGCTTAAGTTCATTATAGCTTTATGAACCGTTTCTCATGATGGCACAAAGAAACAACGCAGACCTGGTAAAAATCTACGAGCAGACAATGATTTAATTCTTGAACAAAGATTATCTTAACTTCAAGCCATATTTCTCACTGCATTTTGCTGCATTATTACATTGCTTTATATTTTTATATGTCAAAACTGCACCATTTATTTTTGTTCAATAACAAATGTTATTTTTAGCCAAGTGTTCGTTCCGAGAACCAAATTGCCTTTTCTTTGTTTTTCCTTCTCGTCTCTACCAAATCATGGATGAGACAGGAGATGGCACAAAGTAAGTGTACATAACAAAAATAAACTTGGTTAAGGTTACTTCTCGCTCCGACAAAAGAGGCAGCTAACGTTGGGGCAGAACTACAACTAAACGACAGTTCCTTAAACAGCTGAGTATGAATGCAAATTTTCTATTAGAATAGCTAACACAGATAAATTGCAAGACTGTGATACTGAAATTCAATACTTACGTCTTCTTGTGACCTCCGGCTTCTTTGGTGCAGCAAAAGAAAAAGAACAAGAATTGCCACAAAGAAAAGCTTCAGCTGATTATGAAAAGTACTTCAGAGTGGATGATTAGCGTGCAGCACGCGTGGTGTCAAGCAATGGGCGAATGCGTCAGAATGCACACAAAAAAAAAAGACGGGTGGATAATGAAAAAGAAAAACTGGTTTGGAGTGTGAGACTTGGTAGGCACATCCGTTTTTCTCTTTGTGGCTGTTTTCCCTTCTCACCTCGATTAAGTCATCAATCAACTTCAACGCTTTTGTGGCGCTAAGACGATCGTGGTATCGGAAAAAGGAAGAGGAAACTTTGAACAAATCCCGACGATATACAGACTTCTTAGGGGTGGCCGTTGAAAATACTTTTTTTTTGTGGTGCCTTAAGGCACCACAAACGTGCCTTCGGGCGTATAGGGAAGAGACTAGAAGAGAAAGACGCACCGTGTTCTTCGGAGATGAGGAGATTCACAGAAGCTTCATAGAAAAATGACATCAAGTGTAAGTGTGCAGAAAAAGTTACGTTAAGTACGATCAAAATACGTTAGCCCTCCGCAGAATAGATAAGTAATACAATGTTTCAGTGGCAGTACAATATACCCTTAAATGAGTGGTCTAGTGACAAAGAACTGCAGTGTCTGTAAAAGAAAATTATTTCCTCTGATTAGTTTTTACTTATTTAATTTGTAATTTTTCTTTTTTGTGTGTTGATCTTGTACATTACTGTCATGATGTTGGGATAGAAGTCTATAACGTAGCTTACCTTCTCATATTCTTCCAAATAAAAATAAATGAATAGTAACCTAAAAATTATAATGATATACTGCAGCACTACATGCTAAACAGATGAATTTATCCGCTAGCTCACCGCAGACTGACTCGGGAAGAGGCAGTAACCCTCAGGAAGCTTCAAACTAACACCCACGTTCACGGTACGCTGCTTCACCGCATCTCACCAACCAAATACTTGTACCAAATACTCGTACATATAATATGGGGAAGCAGACAAAGCCCTGGAGCCACTACATTAACTGAAGAGCAGTTGGAGGCCTAGTTATCAGACCCGGGCCTCAAGAATCAGTGCAGCATGGTTCAACGGGCGCGGGAGACGGCGAAGGCCCGCGGCTACCTGGAATGAGGAGGCCGCTCACCTTGGGCGCACAATGCGTTTGCTCAAATAAAAGTTCATTCTCTCGCTTTCTCTTTCCATGTAAGCTGAAGGTTATCACTTTGTGGTCCTATTTGAACCGTGGCTCTTGATTGATTGATATGTGGGGTTTAACGTCCCAAAACCACCAGTTTGATTATGAGAGACGCCGTAGTGGAGGGCTCTGGAAATTTCGACCACCTGGGGTTCTTTAACGTGCACCCAAATCTGAGCACACGGGCCTACAACATTTCTGCCTCCATCGGAAATGCAGCCACCGCAGCCAGGATTCGATCCCGCGACCTGCGGGTCAGCAGCCGAGTACCTTAGCCACTAGACCAACGCGGCGGGGCGAACCATGGCTCTTGAGTAGCAGCGTGGACGAGCACGTCATCGGGAAAAAGCAAGCATGTTAAATAACAAAATACATTGTGAGGGGCAGGTATGCCCTAATGTGAGGGTGTAAACAAAAAAGTCAAAAGAAAAAATGCAAATCAGTACTTTAAACTGTCACCCATCGTACATTGCGTGACCAATTATGTTTGACTAACTAATGGTTCTAAAATGAAATGATTCGAATTTGAGGTGTCAAATGTAGTGTCAGAATTGTTGGTGCAAAGATAGCTTTGTACTGCACAATAATCCTCGACACACGAAACACAGCGACTAAATTTTGCAGAAAAAGCTAGCGTAACGAAAGCAGCGGGTCATGAGTAAAACCTTTCGCACTCATCATCAATATAGGACTCAGTACATCGCGTCATTAGATGTCAGTTATATATCCAGTTGCGCCTTTAGCTGATCTCGATCCACCGCGGAGGCGTAGCGGTTACGGTGCTTGGCTGCTGACCCGAAGGTCGCGGGTTCGATCCCGGTAATGGCGGTCACATTTCAATGAAGGCTAAATGGTACAGGCCCGTCTACGGTGTGACGTCAATGCACGTTAAAGAACGCCAGATGGCCAAATCTTCCGCGGCCCTCCACTACAGCGTCTCTAAATCATATCGTGGTTTTATGACGTAAAACCTCAGATATTATATTACTATTACACTTTAGCTGATCTTTGTTCGTAAAAGAAGCGAGAAACCGATTGTGAGACGCTCTTCGTTCGCTTTGTCACAACGCGTACACGAGTCTGAAGTTCTCCTACCAGAGCGTATATAAACGTCCCCAGCTTGGTAAGATTTAAGTTATGGCAGCTTCAAGCCTGAAAGAACGGCGGAGCTATGGTTTTTCCTAAGAAAATGTTGGCTCAACTTAGATTGGCAAGCAGGTGCCACCATCTGGAGAACGCCGATTGACTTCTTTCTCGAATCTTCTTTTTCTTGCATCCGTTTATCTTTATTCCTGTGGTGCGCGCCCGCTTTCTGTGGCCCCTCTTCGTTTATTCCTACTCATTCTTACATCGTTCCTCTTCATCCTCACTTTCCTTTTTACTCCCCTTGCCGTACTGTACTACACACGACTGTGCGTAGTACAGTATTAATACAGTAACTAATACAGTAACTAATATGAGCTGCTTGGAACATACCCAGATACTGCGACGCACACATCTTCCTTACCTTCTTCACATCACTCCTCGTTTCTCTCCTCTTCATTCTCACTTCTCTATTCCTCATCCTGATTTCTCCTTTTTCACCCCCTTGATATGCTTGATTATACAAGGCAATGCTTTGGTAGCGTGCCTGAATAGCTTACGATGCTTGCCTTCCAATCATGGGTACGTGGGTTTGTATCCCACCTCGCGATGAAACCTTTTTGCCAAGAATTTACCTCTTTCTTTCCTTCTTTCGTTCTTTTTCCTTTCTTTGTTTACTTGTTCTCTCAACCATCAGAGTTATTCATACCACTCCGGACCAGACAGCGCATGCGCACTGGGAGCAAACAAGATGATGAAGAGACCACGTGCTAGATCATCATGATGATGACGGTCACTTGAGGTCCCGCGTCTGGGAGAAATGCTCGGCTTTAACAGATCCGCTTTTAAAGGCGCTTGTTTCTGGTAAACCAAAGCAGTGCGCATGTAGCAACGGCAAAATAAACTAATCTACTAACCCTGTTTTCCCCCGTCTACGTTACAGGGCCTGTCTCGCCTTACAAAGGTGGCTCGTTTAGTGCCTGCTCTTTTTTTATGTTCCAAGAGACCTAAAACTTAGTAATAACAGTAGTAACTTAGTAACAGTAGTAACAAAACGTAGTAACAAGTATGAAGAAACAGATTAATGGAAAGCGAGCGGAAAGGGCAGAAAGGGCGTGCAGGAGACACGAAATCAGGAAATTGTGCTTATAGGTGGAGACACTGAAAGAAATATATGGTAAGAAAAACTTTGTCATTGTTTCACAGTATCCTGAACTTGGTATATAAAGCCACACTCGTGACGGCGCGTGACAGCCGAGTTCAACGAGAAAGATTTGTGAGCACCGAAGAATGAGGACCGAGTATTGCGAAATGCAGGTATTTTCTTTCGTTCTGCTCTTGCGCGCAGACAATCAAAAGGGGTAGAGACTGAGAAGCAAAAATGAATAAAATTTAAAACGATAGAAAAAGGAAGAATGTGAAGGGGGTGGCGCGTGGCCGGGTGAGCGTCTGTGGATGATTTAAGACCAGCGCGCTTTCTCAACAAGCAGCTGACACGTTGACAGAGCGAAACCCCGTCATATGTCATGATTTTGTGACAAGCCCCGGGCGTGGTGGCGAGTTTCCGGGGTTAGTTCAAGCACACGTGTCGGGGTGTGCGCGTGTCGAATCGTTTCTTTCATACAGCGTGCGACCATACCAACAAACGAAGGACCGAAGGCTGTCATTTCGGCTCACGGCGGCGAAAAGGGGCATTCAGCTAAATCGCGTTGTGATGAACTCTTGGGGCAGTGCTGAAGCAAACAAGGGATAGGAGTAAAAAAAGTAACAACGTGCCCATTGTAGCTCAGTGATGTCGGCAATGAGTATTGTTTACTCACCTCTGAGCGTTTGCTTCTTGCGCCAGCGATTCACAACAATTGCCAGAACCAGCAACACCAGGCACAAGATGGCCAGCACAACTATCAGGATGCTTGAGTAGACGCCAAGACCAAGCACGTTCCAGGCATGTTCTGCGCCACAAAATATGCGCACACAACGTCAACGCATTCAACTATGCATCTGATAAAATATGATATGGGGTACTAGACAGCAGAACGGCCCACAAAATTGAACAATTGAATGTTTCTCTCAGTGTATTACAGAAAAGAGAATAATTTTGTTGAAGCTATAAAACCAGCTCTAATACCTCACATCAGTAAACTACACTTTGCAAAGTAACGCAGAAAAAAGGTTAGAGCCATGCATGTAAAGGCGGACGGCGACCGAGCAAGCCTATAGTTCAGAAAAGGGCATGGTACCGGACAACACCTGCTAACACGTGATGATTGATAGAAACTTGCTTGAAATACCACAACAACCCGTAGCTTTGTTCGAAGACAATATAAAAGCTTCTGATTCATATGACCACGTAATTGTCCGGATGCTTCAAAGCAAAACTGAATTTCCTAACTGCTTCTATTTCGGTTAAAAGACCTATATTAGTCAAGAAGCGCTTGTCAAAAGAAATATCCGTACTACACAGAGGCTTAAGGTTTGACATGGTGCCGGGTGGGGACGCATTCTATCTCTAGATTTATTTTGTTTGCCTGAAGAATATCTAGTCACAAACTCTGACTCGGAAGACAGTGATGAGAGTCAAATTGGAAAAACAAAAGGTATAAGTCATACAGATGAGAGACTCCTTTACCACTACAAATCAAAACAAACTGAAACCTTCATTTTGAAAGTAAAAAAAGGAAGTTTGGTCACAATTAACAATACATCAAACTAAAGTTATCACAGCTGAAGAACAGAAGCTCTAGACAAATAATGGTATATTACTGTACATGTTGGTATTTTTGAGGTTCCATAATAGCCGAACATTGCAAATCTACCAAAAAAGAATTCAGCATAAATACTATATACCGGTGAAAAGAGCGCTCAATGAACACTCTAAATTTATACAAGACCAAGATATGTAGCCCTCAAACTAAAAGGCTTTTGCATGTTTTTCGGTGCTGGTCGTTGAGTTCGAAACTGGGACTTTGCACAAATATGAAATAAAGCAGGCAGCTTTTTTTCATGCTGCTATGAGATCACAACAAGCGTTGCATGCGCCATAGTTGTCCGCCGCCACCGCCGGTGTCCATAACCCCTATTGTGTGATATAAGAAAAAAAACTTAGTTTATACTAACACGATGGGATTCCAACCTGGGTTCCCTTTGTGCCAGCCCAGTGTTCTACCACTGAGCTAAGCCTGAGCTTTAAACCTCATGCCGAAGTGACGCTAAGCAGGCTTGATGTGGGCAAAGAAATCGCGTTACTATAAGTAATAAAGCGTTTTAAACAACCACGGAACAACCAGGCGTCACTCAAAGTGAATTGCGTAACGAGTGCTCCAACCCATTTTACTAAAGCTCCAAGCATCACTCTTCGTCGTCGTCAGCCCCATCATGAAAAATTACAAGAAAATTTCTTGCAAGTGTATAGCGGATACCACGCTTCCCCGAAGGATGACGAAGGATGGCATAGTGAATTTCTGCCCACTACACAAAAAGTATGATGATTTATGGCGTAGTGGGTGGGCTGCAAGTGTGGCCATTACGTTTACCCAAAAATTGTTTAAAAAAAAACTTTAAAAGGCCGCTCTTCCAGCTTTCACTGTGACTGTGCTGCGTGTTTCGTGCAGACCTGGCGGTGTTTTTCATATTTGCTTCTGGCCTAGGGTTTTGAGAATTCCATAAACTTCCAAACGACTCAATCTCTCCGTCATATTGAGTGTTCTTTCAAGGCTATTTTGAAATAAATGCTACATATTTTTTGCCACACTGTGAAGGCTGCTGATTCAATGGAACATAAATTAATGCTAGCCACAGTGGAAGGCGAGAGAAAACCAGGCTGCCAGCACACGAGATGACTGGCCGGTATTTTTCGAGCAGTAATAAAGCTTTTCAGTCAGTTTGAAGAAATTGTAAATAATTGACCTAGCTGGCAATAATTTACTTACTCACGATGTCAACATAAAACGTCCACGACGTGATATACAAAAACAAAAACAGTCTCAGTAAACTCCTTTCCGCGTCTCTCTTCATGTGATAACACTGGCTCCAATAAAACACCCTGGCCTTCCCTTTAAAGTCACGTCTATGAAGTTTTTCGGAGTGAGCGAATGATGTTCAGCCTAATTAGTTCATGCAAATGCGTCAGTAAAATAATCACTGTCACCTTTTTTTCCCTATGGTGCGTGGATCACGCGTGACGTGCCTTCTAATACCTACACACAAGCGTGCGTACCAGTCGTCTTCGATAGAGCGTATCAATAAATAAATAAATAAATAAATAAATAAATAAATAAATCAGTGTTTATTTTTTCACCAAAACTATGCACAAGGGGAAAAAGTTGGAGACGCCGGGAGAAAAAGCTGCAGCTTGACTAAGCACCATCTACCTGTGACAGCCATGACAGGTTGATAAAACGAACGAAATACAGGCATATCAAAATAATGATTAAATACGTACATAAATAAATACATGAAAAAAGGCAAGTTATAATGCAAGCAAAGGGCGAAGGAAATGAAGGGCAAAATAAACAGATAAAAAAAGAATACTTGATGTGCCCATGAACACAATAAATTGTAGGGAGTACATCATCGCTTTTGTACTTAGAAGGAAAATATACCCCATGACATTGTATTTCAACAGTTAGTGAGAATAACCAATGATACCCCAAAGTGAACAATGAAAGCAATCCACACCTATAAAAATAATGTTTTTACGTTAGTATATAATGTGAAATTTTTATGTCTTGCAAGACATAAAAATTGATATGAGCAGCATGCTGCTCATATAAATTTAATATGAATGTTAACGTATGGTTAACGTATGGTAATATAAATGTTAACGTAAATGTTAACGTATAAATGTTAACGTAAGTCTGCATGCCACAAATTGTGCGTTATAACCGAATTTTCCATGGTGGTTTATATTGATGGAAATAAAGACTATGAGTGAGTTCAAGATTTGGAAGTGTCAGAAATGCATCGAGCTTTCGGCAACCTAGTTGCAACCTGAATTTATATATGTCGTTAGCCATAACAATTTTATGTTTCAAAAAGTTGTCCTGTGTGTGCAAGGTATAGTACGTCCTCTATTGCTCTAATTGCTTTTTCTGGAGTATTTTCAGCTTATTTAAATTTGTCGACCTTGTGTTCGCCTAACCTAAAGCACAATATACCGGGTGATCAAAGTTAAGCTTTATAATTTTCTTTTAACTTAGTCGCTGAAAAGCACGTGAGAACCACTTGTGCAAATAAGTTAAGCGTCCGGGGGACAGGAGGTCAGATGATAATTATCGCTGTCAGCAGCCCAATTAACTAAAATTTCATATATATCTTTTTACTGGCTGCGGTTAGTTGGCATGTATATATTGAAAAAAATATAGGCATTGGTGTTTGTACACAGTTTCAGTAGGAAGATTTTTTCTAGCACACCTGTGCTCCAAGATATCCGGCTCCAAAGTTTAATTGTCTTTCGCATGATTACGCATGCAAGAGGGTGAGGGTCAGCGCGAAGCTCCTCCCTAAAGTGGCGCATCTGTTGCGTGTGCTGTTTAGTGTGTGAAGAGGGTGGAAGCGTAGGCATGCATAATAGCAATTACATTTGCCTTCTCGGCCGACGAAATCACAATGTGACAGCGCGGTGCGCCATGGGCCTTACGCATGATCCTGATGAACGCGATAACAGGAAATCATTTTTTGCGACGTTTTTTTTTGTGACTTTAGATCAAACGGATACATCTTCTTGTGAACGCGTTAGCTTGATTGTCCTCTACAAGGGCGTCTGCGGTAGCACAGCGTCTCTGTATTGAACGTCTAGCAAGTAAATCCACGTGAAGGTCTTTCGAGCTAATACGGCTGCCTCTGGCGTGAGATAATCTACCAATGAAAAAGTAGACGTGGTGCTTGCAATGACTGAAATGAATAGCAACGCTTCGTTAGCAATGAAGCTTTAAGCGTCTCGCCATCCACATCATCCCCTTCTAAAAAGGCCCACTTTCATAAACCTGTTTCCACGCTTTTGCACAACAGGCTCTGTTTCCCCTTCCAAGACAGACCACGAAGGCAATCGATGAAGACTTTGAAATCGACGTTGTCGCGTGCGTAACCTCCATGCCAAAGCTCAGCATCCAACAGTTTGCCGATCAGTACGGTCGCAGCGTCGGAACAGTCGCAAATGTTCTAAGAAAGCACAAGTTCCATTCGTATGACGTTTACCTTCATCAGTACCTAAATAAGGCGGACTTTGAAAGGCCAGTTGACTTCTGCAATTGGGGCATCATCAAAACTGATTAAAAATTAACTTTTTGCACAGAATAATTTGAACTGATGAAGCTCGATTTTGCTGAAATGGAAGTCTTCATCTTCACAACGTCCATTATTGGGCACAAGAAAACCCACACTGGCTGAGGCAGCACAGGCATCAAGTTCGCTTGAGTGTGAATGTGCGCTGTGGCATACTCGGGGACAGGATCATCGGACCTCACTTTTTGAGGGCAACTTGAACGGAACGATGTACACAGAATAAATATTAGGTGTTGTCATTGATGACCTTGTCAGCAGTCTTTCCCTGAATGACTGGCGCTAAGTATGGTTTCAGCACCACAGAGCACCACCACCTTTTTTAACCAGGGTGAAGAACTGGTTGGACAGACGTTTTTCCCAACAGTGGATTGGGCGCGCAGGAGCGATGTTTTGGCCATCAAGATCTCCGGACCTTTCTCCACGTGACTTTTTTTGGGGCTAGGTTAAATATCGAGTTTACGTAACAGAGCTCAGCAGTGTTAATACAGAATAACATCTGCATGTGCGAGTATTCCCACAGAAGTAGTGCACCGAGTCATAAAGTCGACGCGAGAGCGATTCATACTTTGCGTTGCTGCCGAAGGCAGGCATTTTGAACACTTTTTGGGCATTGACGTTTTGAGAGGTGAAGAGTTTCGATGAGATTTGTGCATGACCGAAATAAGCTCAT